ACAGACAGACAGACAGACATGCATGCATATATACATGCATACATAAATACAAACTTACATGCCCACACAGTGTCATCTCGCCTGACGGTGCCAAGTGGGAGCCAAAAAATGCCCACATGCTTCCTGTCCTTGCTGCCCACATGTATACCTTGTAGCTTCCTTCCTTCCTTCCTTCCTTCCTTCATTCCTTCGTTCGTTCGTTGGTTCGTTCAGTCGCTTCATTTCTTTCATTCCTTCCTTCCATTCTTCCTTCATTCATTCACTCACTCACTCTTTGACTCATTCACTCATCCATTCACTCACTCGTTCATCCATTCATCCATTCATCCATTCATTCATTCATCCATCCATCCCTTCGTCCATGCGTTCATATATCCGTTCATCCATTCACCCATGCATTCATCCATCCATGCATCCATGCATCCATCCATTCATCCATTCATCCTTTCCATCGCATTCCGTTCCATCCCATGACATCCCATCCCATCCCATCACATCCCACCCCATCCTCATCCCCATCCTCCTCATCTCCACCCCCCTCCCCCTCCCCATCCCCATCCCCATCCCCATCCCCATCCCCATCCCCATCCCCATCCCCATCCCCATCCTCATCCATCCATGCATGCAGGCATTCATGCACCCATCCATTCATTCATTCATTCATTCATTCATCCATGCATTCATTCATTCTTACATATATTCACGCATACTCATACATACGTTGCTTTTTCACTCGCTCAACACACAGCTCTGCTGACGTTATGGCAGCTGTTACACACTGTTCTGTATTTCACCGTGCTCCGCTGTAGCCTCCGTGCTTGCATCTGTTTATCACCTTACAAACGGAGGTGGGTCAAGTTCTTGCCCTACACCCTGCCATCTGTCCTTTATGTGGTGCATATACTGTTCACCACACGGTTCCTCAATCTACAATCAAGAATAATGGGATGCGCATTTGGCTTTTGCAGTCAACAGGTTGTTGTTTGTGTCGTCTTGTGGCCTCTTGTTCTCTACTGCTGACTACTGTCTCTGTCTTCACCTTCTCTCGTTTGAAGGCCTTGCTTGCTCTTATGGAAGAGACCTTGTGTTTCTACTTTCTCATGTGTTTTTGCCATCCAGAAGTGATGGCTTATGTCCATCGCAGGCGAAGCATCCGAGGGCGCCGAGGAGTCCAGCGCCCCACAGGTGGAGATCACCTCGACACTCCAGGACAAAGGGCGGGACCTCTGCGCCAATTCTTGGGTTTGTCGGTTTGGTGGTAGGGGCCAGTGAAAGGTATCTATGAGGGTGTAGGTCAGATGGAGAACCTGTCCAGCGTCTACGGCCCTTTGCCTGAAGCAGACACTTTTCATATTTGGAAGAGACCGTCTCTGAATGCAGTCCTGCTGCATACGAGATTGAAGTTTGAAGTGTCGTGGCTATTTGCTTCTGATGGTTTTCAGGTTCATGTTCCCAGTGTCTTCGCTACCAGAAGTCTGTCAGCTTCCTCGACTAAGAGTTGTGTTGGGTGCCGGAATTAGCATGCAGGCATATGCAGGCCAGACTTGCCGATCATTGATTGCTCACCGCACGCACCGCGATACCTCTTGCGTTTGAAGAGGTATGTATGTTTGTATATTAAAAACAGGGTTACCGGGTAAACATATACATATACATGTAGAAGAGTCTAAAATGCACATGCTCAGACATGCACACTTTCATGCGAACGTGTGCATGGCCGCCGGCATCTGCCTTGTCTGGGCCTTGATATGTGGACGCATGTAGAAGCTTGAGAAAGCAAGAGAAGAACGCTGCGATCCATACGGCATATAGAGGGAGTCAATACCCTTGAGTAGCGTGTCATGAAAGGTTTCATTCCTGGCCTGTGCCCGGAACTGGATATGTCAGGGCTAACCCCACCTGCATGCTTGCTCGCAGGAAGATGTGCGAGGCACCTTTACTGAACGAAGATTTCCTTTCAAGGAGATTAGCTTGTATCGCTTGTTTTTATAGTTGCCGTGCTAGTGTGTTTGCATTTCAAGATGGGTTGTTGGATTGCCTCGCTCCTTCCGAGCCACCTGGATTGAGCTGTGCATCAAGATCCACAACTAGGCAGTATCGAACCTTATCCGTCTTCGGCCGAGCTCAGTGGAAGGCACGGCTCCGACCGTTGTAGATTCCCGCTCAGGCTACTTGAAGCAGCTCACGCCAAATAGATGAGCGAGGCACGCTGCCTGTTCCACTTTCGCACAGAGTGCAACAGATCCTTGCTCAGGCATTTCTTCCGTGGACCACGCGGGATTGCTTGATTACAGGTGGCTTCACGGCTGTAGGGCTTAGCTACAGACTGCATGCTGCAGATCCATGAGCAGAGAGCCATGAACTGTGTGTGTAACAATGACAGCTATGTCCACCTCGAGAGTCTAGACTATCACCGATTACATCCGGCACAGTTGCTGGCACAGCAACAGATGTCAGCTTGCGTTTGGCAACTCGGGCAACAAGGTGCACTAGCTAAAAGATCTGCTTAAACAGTCTTGTGGACCCTTGATCGCTTGTCGCACCACTGTGCTTGCTTTGAAATGTTCCGCAGACGACAGACAGCAAAGTTGCATAGCAAGCTGACATCGGGTGTCTGCCGGACCTTTCATGCGACAATGTACAAAATGGGAGTTTTCGATTCAGATCAAACCAGGAGATGCAAGGGCGCCTTGTAGATATATCGAAAACCTTGAGATCCTGACAAGGATATTCCTTGAAATTCCTTGAAGCCTTCCGGGCTCGAAGCCGCGCTGCAGTTCTCCTCGAGCCGTTTTTGGGCCTTCCTTGCCAAGGGCAAAGCGGAGGCACCAGAGACTTTTCAGCTTGCGGTCCCCAGCACGGCGCGTGAAACCAGAGCTAGGTGGAGAAGTGCCGGGGTCCGGAAAGCGTCTGTATAGCTCCTGAGGAGATTTGCAGAGCTTTGCTTCCAGGTTGTGCTCCTTTGGAGGTTCATCCCACTCCTTTCTCCGCTAGCGCTTCAGCGCTTGCGATCTCTCCGATTTTCTGTGCTGCTTCAGCATTCGAAGGCCGAGAGGCTGATGAGCGGGCCTTAGGGATCTAGCTTGGATCGACTGTGCTTGCATTTCTGGATTTTCCACAAGATTTTCTTGTCGGTTAACTGAGAAAAGGCGCATCAGGGCAGTTGCGTGGCCTGTTTTGGTGGAATCTCCGAGTGCTAACGTTGAGGTGCACGATCAAAACTACTCTAAGCACCCTAGGCTCAATGGGGATGTGTGCTTCTCGATCTTGCGTCAGTGGTCGGCTCAGCTGATGCGATGATCAACACACCGCATTCAACAGTGCAAGCAGCTTTCCGTGAGCTGGAGGTACAAGATGTTCAACGTGGACATCATCGTGCCCTTCACTCAGAGCCCCAGGGTTTTCAAGCCGAGTTGGATGGCCAGCTACCTGCACCAGAGGTAGGTGTTTCACCACCCAGCTCGGATCCTGTGCAGCTTTCCAGTTCTTCAAGGAATGAAGATGCAACGATTGACGACTTCATCGACGTGCTGGAGGAGGTCGGACCCCGTTTGCATGGGAGTAGTTTTAAGCCTGAGCAAGGCGTGCTAAAGGTTTAGTATCGGCAGATTGTCGAATAAGTCGAAAACCAGCAGGAAGGTCTGCGTTTTGGTACCCCTCATCCTTCGACTCCTGCATGCAAATCTTCCGAATGCCAGACCGGCACAGCGCCGCGGCAGTACTGCAAGTGCCTCTACGCTGCCTGGCTGCAAATAGGGCCCATAACCATCAGGTCTGCCCAAACCCACAGTGAACGATACGATCAACAGATACAGTTCCCCGTCCCAAAGTTTTGTTGCAGGTCTACAACAAGATCGACATGCTGAACATCAGCCGCTAGCCGTGTCTCTGGTTGAAGGCTTCTTACGGCCTATCTCAGGCTATTGAGGTGGAGCTATTAGCGAGGAGTGGAGCCTCAACCCAACCCTCAGGTTGGCGGTGGTTGGGGTCACTCGCTAAACAGAGGCCTGCGTAGGAGACCCACAGGTAGCCACGGTTTCCAGCTGTTTGCCCGGTGCGCCATGCATGAAAAGCGTCTTCCCATGCTTCATTTCTGGCAGTGCAGAGCGCTTTGCAGCAATGCCTCATGAAGCACAGCTAGATGTGGATCGCTTTGGCTAGCCGGCTGGCCGTCGCGACTCGCGCCCGCCCAAGGTCAGGTCGAGGAGTTGGCGAGGCAGCCCTACTCCGTGGTCATCTCCGTCAGCAAGGGGTTTCCGGACTTACACTGAACTGTTTGTTCCAGCTCGGCTGCGAAAGATTCTTTCAGGTCACGGCGACAAGAAGATACGAGAGGAGTGCCCTACGAAATAAAGAAAGACCGCGGCAGAAGGTGTTTCAGTCGTGCTGGCTGGGCAGCTGCGCTAAGGTTGAATTTGGATGGCTTGCTGGAAAGAATCTGGCAGGCATCAGTTCCTTCCCTGATGCTCCTGTGCGACGTGTAGAGCGGTGGATGCATAAGTATTGGTGCATGGGCATGCGAGGAGCTGGACTTGCGCCGAATCTACACTAAGAAGAAGGCACCGGAGAACTAAATCATCCACGGTGTGGGGATAATGTCGACAGGTGTTGTTCAGTGTCGCGGGAGTGCTGGCAGCTTCACCAGCCTATGTGGCAGAACGGACCCTAGGCCCTTGGCACCGTCGCGAATAGAATGATCTTTGACAGACTCTATTGCCGCACTCATGCATGGAGCATGGGGCTCTCCCCTAGCGTGGCCTCAATGCATCCAATCGATGCTGAGAGAATCGGGCTGGTGAGAGTACTGTATCAGAATGCACAGCCATGCCTGGTACAGATGTCGTAATGCCCTCATAATTCGTCCATGTTCGATCGGCATGAACAGGGTTGCAGACGCTTGTCCTCCTCGTCTGCAGGGCCTTTTCCCCGACTTCACAGAGCCGTCCTAGCCTTATTGCAGTCTGTCCGAAGCAACGGTCGGCCTAAGGTGCACAATTCCTGAGACTTTGTAAAGTTCAATAGTCAAAACCGCGGTGTTTGCCAAGGATAGTTCTGACTTGCCAGCGCGGCAATAAGACCATGTCGGTCGAGAACGCCGTCGGCCTGCTTCACAAGACGCTTGACATTCCCATTCCTGTGTGTTCCTATCTTGTCCATGTATGTATCTTCTTCATGTGGCTCCGACGACTTCTGACAGAGTCCTCTCTGTTCTCGGTTGGGCAGGCTTTGCTTGTCGGAAACCTTGACAGAGCAGGATGATGCCAAGCCTTCGGAGGGTGTGCTTGTGACAGAGAGACTTGAGGAGTTTGCTGGACGAGTTCAAGCATGGCCCCAAGCTGTCTTCTTGGCTCATCGTTGATTGCCGGCTTCTGCCAAGTTCACAGCGCCGCTTTTGTGGATTTGCAGTGCTGCAGCTGCAGGTCAGCGCTGGTGTGGGGCTCCAGCGTCCGTGCATCCCCGCAAGTGTGCGGTTGGCTCCCCAGAAAGAACACGTCGAACTCCAAGATGCCATCCTTCATACGAGGCCTGAAGCACGAGCTCCAGGACGAGGATGTAATGCAAATCACGAAGCTTACCGCAGCCAGCTGCTTAAACTCTCAGCTCTGGAGCCTTGGCTTCTGCTTGAGAGACCCAAAGGCTGAGAAGCAGAAGAAAATGCCGGGTACTGAATTGATGCACTGTCCCACTCTCCGGGTAAGTCTGACAGCTTGTGGGCCCGGCCGCATCGAATTTTCTGTGGAGGCACGGGAAGAAGACAGGCACCACTTTGGCAGGAGGGAACACGCAAGTGGACCCTTCCGGCAAGAAGGCGCAGACTCCTTCTGGAGTTGCAAGAAAAACTCGTGGAAATGAACAAGTTGGAAGAGTGAATGTGGGTTACAGTAGCAAGAGAATCGCTGCTTGTGCTCCTGGTATTAGGACAAGGAAAAGAAGGCTCCGCTCAAGACGTGAGCCGGTCACGGCAAAGCCAGCGTGATCTTCTGACGTGCATCCTTTCGATGGCCATTGTGAGTCTATGCCTGTTGCAGCGAAACGCGCATCTGGCGGCGGTTTTGCCAGCCACGCCTCACGGCCCAGTATGTGGTTTCGGTGAGAAGAAACTTAGGGCATCCACATACTGCCGCCACAGCAAATGCACCGGAGTCCTGCACATTGAGCTGAGCCTCTGCAGGATTCTTCCCTTTCCTTCCATGCTGAACTGTCGGAGAAGCCCGCGAGCTTCTGCTTTCGGTCAGAGTACCCGAAAACAAAAATCGCATCAGCTTGAGCCAATTACTCACAGAAGCAAGGTGGCAGGGCAAACCGTGATATAGTGAGGCAACGCTTCTCTGTCTTGTGCAGCAATGGTCCGAAAGGCCATTTTACTACATGACCTTCGCTTAGCCTTAGCTGGTCTATCCAAAAAGGTGAAGAGCCAGGGCAACATCAGTTGGCGCAGCATGAACCGCAGGCTACCGTCGTGTTTGTGGTGGTAACATGCTATGTTTCCAAAGCACTGCACGTTAGGCTATCATAGCAAGTTCGTTAGAAAATCACGAGTTAACCGGTTAGTTATGTAGACACTCACACGTTTGTCAACCAACTGACGAAGTAGGCCTGGGCACGAAAGTCCAAATAAACGAGCATGTATTTAAGTAAGCAATATAGCGGAGGAGTCCGATAGCTCGTGAACGCGAGGAAGAAACAAGTACGGGAAGAACGCGCAAGCTCACACGGAGTCTCCCCTGCCCCCCAGGCACACATGCAGACACGTATGCAAAGGATCGTGTATGTGCTACGGTTATGTGCGTGGGTGGCTAAACAAGACCTAGATGTCACAGCTAGCGAAATGCTCTCGCAGTATTGCGACAGTCGATCTGGTTGACAGTGCAGGTACCGGTATACGTACATTACATGTATGCATGTGCTTCATGTGTGGGTTGAGTTTTGTCAAACGTCTAACCATCGCGTTGCATTCATTCCCATCGTATTGCATTGGTTTTGCGATAACTGGTCAGAGTGTTTTCTGCTAGATTCTGTTTCCTGCGCGCTGCAGCTACGGTTCTCAGTGGCATTTTGGTCCTGCTGGCTTCGCCAGGCTTGGGGGCGACAAGCCATCGGAATTACGTAGTGCAAAGGCTGAAATGCAGCGGCCTGTGTCCCCTGCAGGTAGGGCAGTCGCCGCAATGCGGCTCTTTGTCAGGGGCATAGCTGGTGAGACCTCCGCAGTGGAGGTGCAGCCGCCTGATAGTGAGCAGCTTCAGTCTTTCTGCCACGCAGTCTGTGCATAGACTTGCTGTGCTAAGCCCGAAGAACCACACTTTCCAGTTTGTCATTATAACTGGGCACGAAGGCCTCGTTGTGCACGCAACCGTGTTCGCATAGCAGGGCCAGTCACAGCGCTAAATATCCTCTAGACTCGGGCCTTCGCAGAAGCTGCGACGATACTATGCTTGAAGACTTGGTCTGTCGCTCGGAAGGTTGCGTCTGCTGCCAGTGTTGCCGACGTCCAGCTACAGATTCAGGAAGTCCAGGCACATGGGTGTAGCATGCCAATCAATAAAGGTGGTCTTCAGAAGTGCCCCAGATGAAGTCAGCAAGCAGACGGGGCAGGGTGTTCTGCGTGTTCGGGTTGCCTTTTCGTAGTCTCGTTTGACATGTCTACGGCACTCACTTATGGGAGTTGTGAGTTGTGTAGTCGGCCGGTATACGTCACTGCAAACGTGTCCACACTGTCCGCCCGAGCTATTCCTTGGTCTTGTTGAGGGTGTGCCTTGTAGCGAGCAGCGGCTGATCTTTGGGGGAAGGTGCGAAGCCCGGATTCAAGCTATGGATGTGTCGGCAACAAAATGCTCACTTGTGTGGATCTTGAGTGACTAAGGTCTTTGCAGTCCGAAGAGCTCCTGGCTGCCTGTGGTGTGGAAGAGGAGTCGGTTGTGCGATTGTCGCTTCCGCGGGCGCAGCTGCACTTCGAGTGTTGTGTCCTTCCCTGGACTGCATAATGCCCGTGGTTGCTGTCGCTTAGATGCTGGCTAGTCCGGTGACTCCAGGAAGGTGCTTCAGCTTTTTTGAAGCCTCGAGCTCGCTTCTGCTCCTGTACAAAGTCGTCATGGCCCGACAGTCTGTCCGAAAGTCCCGATGTGCAGCTGGCGTTGCGGCCGCTGCTCTCAGCATGTGCTACCTGGCCGCAGCCTTCGTGATGCCTCCCGCAGAAGGCCAAGGAGCAGGCCGGCGTGAGGCCTTGCTGGGCCTAGCCGGTGCTGCGGCAACGCTCTCTGCAGAGCCTGCACAGGCAAAGGCGGGAGCAGGCGAGTGGATGGGCTATTACAGCGACCCTCAGCACCCGATGTGCCCACGAAAGATCGTGTACGAGTATGACCTCTACGACAAGGCGCAGATGATGGTCGATGGAGGCGATGGCAACCCCGGATGCGAGAAGAAGGTGCTCACGAGGTGGACGGCCAAGGTCGACTGGAAGGCAGGCTCTGACGAGATTACCATCGATTTCAGCAAGAAGGGCGGGCCCGCTGGCGTGGTCGGAAAGTGGGAGGGGGACGGGATCGTCTTCCCCGATGGCAACAAGTGGAAGAAACTTGGTTCTTCTGGTTGGCTCTTAGGACTTTAACTTTTTGGGTTTCTATCTGAACTAAAACAAGTAGGCTAAAAGTTTAACTTTTAGGAGGGTCAGAAGTCAGCGAAGGAAAATCATTGACTACAACACTGGCAACGGCCAGGGTATCTGAGCCGCGGGGCAGTCGTTCCTCCGACCACCGGGTTTTTCTCACCCAGCGTAGAGTGGCAACTTGACACAAATCCCACGCGCAGGGGGGCTGAAGAAGCGGAGGTGGTTGCTGCTTCATGTGCCCGTGCAGATGCTCACAGCCTTTTTGCATCTCGCCACGCAGGAGTCCACCCTTTTCGTCAATCTCGATCTCGAAGGCGGCGGCAAGAAGCGCAAGAAGAAGACGTACACCAAGCCCAAGTGGCCTGGCCTTGTTAACGAGCAGGCAGACTCAGCCACTCGTACCGTCAATTTGTCGGCTTGAGACTAGATGCAAAGGGCATGGGGCATGCAAGCCCTACTCGACAGGCTGTCAAGGCAGTGTCTGTTTCGGTGAATGCAAACAGGAAGATCAAGCACAAGAGGAAGAAGGTCAAGCTCGCAGTGTTGCATCTTGATGGCAGTCAGGCGCTTGCAGACTTCTACCCCGACAGGGTCACCCAAGCCAACTTTAGAAGGGACGTTCACCGCTGGCTCTGCCTCACATGCTTTCTCGTCTGCCTGTCCCGCCTGAAGTGCTAGCCGCTGTAACAAGTCCGAAGGTTCGAGCCAGTGTTGTGGGAGGTTTCACGTCGGGGCAGCACTTCCATAGCTCGGGGTACGTGAGAACTCCCTGGAGCAGAGAGCCCTGAACTTAGGAAGTTCTACAAGGTTGACTCCAACGACAAGGCCTGGCACTAGTTGTTAAGCGCTGACCACGGGTATGATTTCGGGGGAACTCATCGAGCTTTGATATTTGGGATGTTAAGTTCTTTCAGAGTGATTTGTGATGACAGGTGACCCGCTTGCGCCGCGAGTGCCCTCACGAGACCTGTGGCCCAGGTCGGGAGAGATCTGTAATGGGTTGGGTCTTCATGTGCGTTGCTCGAACTCCGGTTCTCTGCGTTGAGTGGCCTTGGAAAAGGAGTCTTCATGGCCATGCACTTCAATCGCTACTACTGCGGTAAGTGCCACCTGACGTACCTCATCAAGAAGGATCTGCGATCTGCCGCTACGCTTGATTTCGAGAGACTGCAGTGTCACAGCCCATGTACTTGCGGGGTCATGTTCCGACGGCATGCAGGGCCCTGCTCACTCACTGCCCGTTTTGCCCGGCACACCCTGCAGGAGGATAAGTGAGAAGCCGTCCCTCACATTGAACATCATTGAACAGCCCCACGGCCCATGTCGGTGCCAAAAAGGATTGAAGTTTCAACGGTCCTTGAGTCATCGCAGCCTGGGAAGGAAGTGCATGCACTTATGTAGCCGCACTCCTCTGATATTGAAGTGGTGAAATGTCCTGAGAGATGAATCTGGACACTTTTCGGGAGCTGTGACCCAACCACTGGTTTGTCGCAGCCGTCTACAAGGACTACACGAGGGTGCCCACCACGAGCCGGGTGGCGGGGTATCCCGCTCATCAGTCGTCCAGCTTACCTGCTTTCTGGGCACAGGAACCAGCCTCGCAATAATGCGAGTAACCAATAGGATGAGCACAAACATGCATGTGAACATCAGGCAGAGGTAAGATCATGTAAGATCCGTAGGCATGGTTTGCATCAGCCGAACCAATTCCTGGATTGGCTTCATCGCCTTGCGTGGCGGCCATAGCTCTGGTTGCCGTGGCCATGCAGCACCCTTCCCAGAGACTCCGTGATGCTTCAGGTCTTCCAGGTTCTCATGAAGGCAAGCCAAAGCGTCGTCAGCCTGTCATATGTTGGCGGTGCTGATCTCTTAAAGTGTCCTGCAGCTTCACAGCTTCATGTCGATTGTCGGTGTTGCGTTGAACCAGCACATTCTTGGAGCATGCCCCGCGGTCATCTCCAGCTCGAGGGAAACTGATTTGGTGCGCACCTGCTAGGTGGGACGCACGCACTAAGGAGGTCTTGACTTAGCCCGGTTTCTTGCAGCTGACAACATGGCGCCGTACAATGCCTCCGAGGACCTCATTTGCCCGGAAGCTGGCGAAGTAGACTTGATCTTGCATTCGTGCTGACAATGTTGGGCCACTGCGATTGTAACTGGGCTGAGAAACGAGATGTCAGGAAGTGGAGCCACCCTTCATGAAGAAGTACTTTTCAAACGAGCAGCTCGACTTGTTAAGCTTAGTTCGGCTGAACGACACCGATGTGCCTGCTGCTACTTGCACAGGCCCAGCCCAAGCATCGACAGCCGACAGCTCTGCATGTCGAAATCACTGTTACCTCGGTCCCTCCTCATCTCTGGTGCCGCGCATGTACGTTGCTACGAAGCAAGTGCAGCCAAAGGACAGCAGAACAGAAATTGATAGAACCGCTTGTTGCACAACGTGCAAAGCAAAGACAGTGTGGTGCAAGGCGAAGCATTTCGTAAAGCGACGCCGTGCAGAGAAAGCGGTTTGTTGCTTCCACGTTCCGCTCCAGGTTTATGATGAAGTATGAGCCCTTAGCAGCGGCGAAGCGGAGGCGGGGCAGATGGCAGGTTGCTGGAGGGGGTAACATGTTTTCAATATAGTAACACTAAAGTAGCCCAAGAAATGGTCACGTAGTCGGGCTCTAGTAGCCTCATAACACCATTGTGGCCATTTCCACTTTTGGAACTGCCTGCTCGAGAGACACTTGATGCTTGATGACTTTGTTAGGCAGTTTCAACTTGGTCTCTGGCAGTATGTGGTGGTGGCAGCCTGACAGTTTTCGAACCGTCCATTATCTTGGAAGGTTGGATGAAGACAAGAACGACGCGGAAGCGCAGAAGATGTACGACACATACTTCCCCATGTACAAGATGCATGGCAGGAAGGGGTGGGAGTGCTTAGGACGGTTTGTCCTTGGGTCATCTGCGCGATGAGACGTTTTTCGCTTAGGGAGCGCTGAAGGAGAATGCTTTCCAGCACAACCAAGCGACCGAGGAATTATGACTGGTGCAGCTCTTGGGATGGCACAAAGTACGACTTGGTCTTCTACGGAGTGTCGGGCTACACTGGCTATTTGTGCCTCGGGTTGCAGTTCAGACGCCTCGGGATGGGATGAGAAGCAAAGGAAGCAGGTGTCCCTGCCGTGACTCAATGCACACTGAAATCTGGAAAAGTTAATCTTGGGGACATCAGCACCGACTTGGCGTGTGACATCAGGTCAGGAGTAGCAAATCGAAGCAAGAAGTGCTCTCGCCCCACCCTTGCATGTTGCTTGTCGTGCAAGGATGATGGAGTACCTCAAGCGCGTCTCACTGAAGCGTCGCTCGGGGCGCCAATTTAGCCAAAACATGTGAGCACATCCGTGAGTCAATTGGCATCCACCCGCTCACAGATTTTCGTTAGCTGTTTGACTGGAATGCCTTTTTTGCCGAGAAAGCGCGGAAGACTTCACGTTCGCGTTTGCTGGGCGAACACCTGGTAAAGTGCATCTCGGCTCTACTTAGACTCGACTTCCTGTCAGAAGCAGTGCTACCTGCGAAAAACATCATTCGAGCCATGAGAGCGCAAAGGGAGCCTCACTGAGCGAGCATGCTATACTGGTCACACTGTTGTCTGTAGTCAGCTTCGAGGCAGGATTTGCGCGATCGTGAATTCGCAGGGACTCCCTATGAGGTGCGCAGCAGTCAATTCAGAGACTGCCTTGTTTGCAAGTTGCACGGCTGCGGGGCTTCGCAGCGCGTAATTCAGGACACCCCGGTCTTTCAGATGTCCTACGATGACCCGTACTCTATGATCGACCTCGTCAAGAGTGCCAGGTGCATCATTAACGTCGCCGGGCCTTACATGCTCACTCAGGGTGAGCTGATGATCGATGCCTGCATATCCATGGGATCCTTGACTCGGTTCATGGGGCAGTCGGGGCAGAGTTTGCTGATGTCTGTTGCATGCTGTCTCTACCTCAGCCCACCTTTCAATAGACGGCTCATGGCCCTTCAAGGAGTGCACTACTGCGACATCAGTGGAGAGATCCCGTGGTCCCGCAGAATTACGCCCCTGCATAAGCACGCCCAGAAAAACGGTGCTTACATCATCCCCAGTGCAGCCTCTGCCGGTGGCTTCCCGGACCTTTGCACCTTCCTCTGTGCCAAGAAAGCTCGGGAGGACTACAACGAGGAGTTGAGGAAGGCCATTTGCTACGTGAATGGCGGCGGTGCAATTGCTACGGCCTCCGGAGGTACGCTGAAGACTCGTGCCACGATGGCTGCTGGTGGTGACGAGACCCGAAAAATGATGGGCGACCCCTACGCTCTCGGCGGCTTTGTGCCAGACCGGGACCGCCACGGCATCAAGTACTGCAACATCGAGTTTGGGACAGGCTCGGTTACGACCAAGGTGCGTGCCGAGGACTTGGATGCCAACATGTCCAAGATCTCGGTGGCCCGGACTGCTTCAGCAATCATTTTTGCTGATGTGTGGGAATGCATCTAGCATGCAATCTCCTCAGCGGATGCTGTAGGAAGACAAGCACTTGGGCATCTGGCGCGGGCCCAACGTGTGGCTTGGCGCTGACGCCTCCGTTCTGACATTCTGAGATCACTCAGCATGCGGAACACGGGGAGAAGGTATGTGCAAGGAACCAAAGAATGTTTTGTACTCACTGTCTCGGAGAGAGCTGGGACTCCTGTTGCAAGGGCTCTGTAGAGTTCTGTGGCAACCGGCGCCTTGCGGCTTTGTTGCCTCGTCTGGCTGAGGTATTCATATTTCGATACACGCATCGTTCGCCGGTCCAACATGCTCCTGGCGGACATGGGTGGCCAGCCTTACGGCAAGAGCTTGAACTTCCTTCAGTTCTCAGTCCTCCCAGCAGACGCTTGCTGGCATTGGCTTGGACCTGAAGGCTGATTTTGCCGACTTGTGTCCATCCGAGGAGATGCTTCTCCAGGGCAAGCAGGGAGGTGGAGGCACCAGCTGCAGTGAAGCTTACAATGTAGGTGATACATCCAGGCATTGGCAGTTGGCAGTACATGCGACAGGAGGCGGCGGCGGTGCCGGCGGCAGCGTGGAGGCGGAGAAGAAGGCGTTGGAAGCCAAAGGTGGCTTTCCTGATAAGTCGTGGCGTCCGTGCTACACTACACATAAAAGTGCCATACATATCGTATAAAGGACATGCCGAGCCTATCCGGACCTGAAGAGTCTAAGTTGAAGAAGGGTTATAGGTTATATAGTAGGCTTACAAGCAGGCTAAGGCAGGCTGAGGCAGCCTTTAAGTGTTCAAAGGGGAGTCCAGCCTTCGCTCGGAACTGCTGAGGTGTTTACTACGGAGCGGGCGAGGGGCCACCCCTTGAGGAGCTGCTTCGTCGCAGCCGGCAAGGCTTCACCTAGCCTCAAGTCATTGGCACCTTTTGAATAGAGATTGGTTTCTTGCTTGCGACTCTCCGACACCACAGAATCAAGGCTCAGGATCTCTTGCGAAGGCAAGAGCAGGCAGGAGAGGTAGCTGGTCGCCCTTGCCATAAGAGGAGGAACACATCGCAGTAGCCTTCGTTGCTGATGGCCACGACACACTACTGACTACGTTCAGCGAATCCGTAATCGGAACAGCAAAGCATTGGGTGCAGGTAGTCACAGCTAGTCATACTCACTGAGGCTTGATGATGCGTGGAGTGCGTGGTTTGTCTGGGCACAGACAGAGAAGGGTCACGAGGCACCGAGCTGCAGTGGATGCTACTCCTTTAGTGGTCCAGCAGTGCTGAATGACGAGTTTTCCAATCCGCCAAATTGTGTAATGTTAAGAGCTGGTGCGACCGGCCTCTGTGAAAGCTGAATGTACGGCTGGCGAGGTGAGGTGCGACTTCATTGGCCGAGACGGCTACTTTGAGACGGCACGAATCGCGGTGGAAACTGCAACGTGGCTGAAGACGTGTGCGCTCACAACTGCGAGCACAGCGCTTTTGCTGGTTTTCAGCTGCAGCTCTTGCGACATGTTCTCGACTCTGCAGGCAATGTGCTTGGTTTTCGACAGAGAGGCGCGGTTTACTTGGTCCCGAAAGTGCGCATTGTTGACCTGGTCTAGCAGTCTCGCGAGTAGTGCGTGCTGCAGCCCGTAAGTTCGAACACGACCAAGCCGTAAACGTTCCTCCTCAACCGAGCGATTACGAGTTTCTTGAAACTTGACTCTAAAAGACAGCGGCGGATGCATGAGAAAAGCCCGCACGACTCTGAGCTTGTGCTTAACCAACGGTGTAATGACGGAAATGACGGACCGGCGTGATTTGGGTAGTCCGCAATGTAGCTGAATGCCCTCGACTGTTGCTTCAGCAGCCTTTCAAGTCCATGTGATATTTCTGATGCAGCCACAGACGGGATCGTACCGGATGAAAAAAGACATTGGTCTAGATTTCAATCTGAGAATGACTCGGGAGATGTTGGAACTAGCTTTGGCGTTATATGGCGTTGGACCTTGACAGGCTCTGCCCTTCAGGGGTGGCGTGCTCACCCCGGCCGTAGCCTGTGGCGAAGCCCTGGCTCAGCGCCTGATCAATAGCCGGAGCCCTGAAGTTGAGAGCAGACGAGGTTGCGGAGGGGAAGGGGGCTCGGACTCTGGGGGTTTGGGTCATCCGTCGCGACCTGATGGGCTTCGTGTAAGTTTTAGCAGCCCTTCTAGGCTTGACAGTCCCCATGCCCACTGGCACCGACCCAGGCGGCGTCAAGTTCTCGATGGGTAAATGGCACGATGTCTCAGAGCTGAGAGCTTAGAAGCTTCGCTTCGGTGCAGCCTCGACGCAAGCTTGTTCAAAGAAATTGCTACTTCCGTGCCAAGGTTCAATCCACCACCCAATCCGTAAAGCTGAAAATCAGACGTTGGCAGCAGAAGACCGGTGGTTATGCAGGAGCCACCCAGCGTGTTCTGCATGCGCGGGTTCATACAGGTTCCTTGTAAGCGACTGGCAGGGAGTACGGTGCAAACTTTGCTCTAGCCGCATGTAAGGATCGCCGTTTAGGCAGGGCCGCAACGCCATGCATTTGTAGCCTTCAGCTCGTCTTTCGTATTCGCAGGATGGCATCTCCAACTACCCCTGAGAGAGCTTGGTCGAAATGCACAAGAAACGCTATTCTTCCTTTTGTTGTCGCACGTTTGAGTTGAAGCTACGGTTGACAAGAACAGATATCACTGGAGAGATCCCTTGCGAGCGACTGCAATTTGCGGCACTGCTCACGGCACAGCAGGCATCACATTCAGCATGCTATGACAAAGCGTTGCTGCTTGTTCTCTACATCTGAAACAGCAGTGTGCTGTTTTAGTTTTTATCATATCGAGCATTGTTACGGAAGCTGACCGTCAATGCAATGGCAGTGCCTGCGATTCTGTGAGCTTGCACGGTCCTGGCAATGGTTCTGTTTCTGCATCTGTCAGCATGGCTGCAAAAACGCTATGTGCGCAGGGTTCAGTATCCTTTCTGGTATCCCGACAGTTCAGTTGCATGGGCTTGTGTTCGAAACTCTGCAGGTGCAATGAATGCACGTGAATTCACCAATGAATGATTCAGCTGATTGGAACCCGCACCTGCCGCGGGAAGGGATGGTGCATGATTGCTGCCAAGCCAGGCGCACGCAAAGCTGCGTGTTGACGACTTCCGAGACGATGCGGCGCGGGAAGAGCCAGGATCCTGGTCAGCAGTGCAAAAAGTCGATGCCAGTGGGAGCTGAGAGCTGGATGTGGGTGCCTTTTCGGAGCTTGTTGGGGGCTCCCGATGCTTGGAGCGTAAGTAGCTTTGTCAGAGAACCCCAGCGCTGATGTGCTTGTCATGCGGCAACAAAGCTGAGACCCCTGGTATATTATGAAAGTGCCGACGTTTCAGCTGACAAAGGGATCATACACAGGGTGAACACGCACAAACTAAGCTACGGCAGCGCTGACCAATATTCAAAGAATAGATATACACAATGCACAACCGCACATACACGTGAAAACAGACAGCAAACATGGTCAGCATGCATAGCTATCCATCTATATATCTTTCTGTCTATCTACCTATCTACTTATCTACCTACCTACTTGCCTACCTTCTGTCTATCTGTCTGTGTATCTGTCTATCTATTGATCTATCTACCTACTTACCTACCTTTCTATCTATCTATCTATCTATCTATCTGTCTATGTGTCTCTATCTGTTCATCTACCTATCTATCTATCCATCTATGTATCTATCTGTATCTGTCTATGTTTCTGTTTATCTATCAACCAATCTGTCTATTTATCTGTCTATCTATCTATCTATCTGTCTGTCTGTCCATCTATTTATCTATCTTTTTATTTATCTACCTATTTATCTATCTACCTACTTACTTACCAATCTATGTATCTGTCTGTCTATCTATTCATACATTTATCTAACTACCTACTTACTTACCTATCTATTTATCTGTCTATCTGTCTCTATCTGTTTATCTATCTATCTATCTATCTATCTATCTATATGTCTCTCTGTCTATCCATCCACCTCAATGAACATGTTACTGTACCTTGCACACGAAGATGCTCAGTCAAGTTGGCAATATGGGGCGTACGAGTGCACACACAAAGTCATGAACGACTCATCATATAAGTGAAGATGTAGAGCGACATATGTAATATGGAAGGTCACAGGGGTCTTTCGTTTCGTGAGCTCTGCGGGAGCTCTCTCCGTGAAAGTCACCTGGAGCACAGTAGCAATCCAAGGATTAGTGCTGGAGCGGGTGCTTGCATAGACACCGAAGCTCCAGTATCCATGTTCGTTGCCATCCGTTTTGCAAGACGACATGGTGTACCGTAAACCCCCAAAAGTTGGAAACCCGATTAAGGACAATTAGTGCTGGGATTCCCTATACATTACTCTTAGGGATTGAGGCCAATTGGGTTTCCAACTTTTGGGCTTCTACTGTAGTTCGACACGCTGTACGAAGCCATGAAGACGTCGTACAGGAATCTCAATCTCAAGCAAAATTCGGGAAGTCAGACCGGGAAAGGGATGTTATCAGAATAACCGGGTAGTTCAAGGTTTTGCCCGGGTCAGTCGTGTGAGGTTCAACCTGGAGCTCGATGTTCGCAGCTGAGAGCTTCCTTGCGAGTAGTGTGCCCCGGGCCTTAGTCGCTCTACGGCCCCCACTCAAAGGCCCTAACAGCCCCAACGGCCTTGGTTGCGGCAGATCATATCTATCTGACGCGAGCATTTCTGACAATCTGACGGTGGACGGTGTTCCGAAACCGCCAGGAACACCTGGTCCAGAGGTGGCGTCATTTGGCATCGAAGGCTGATGCGAGCCGGGGCCTTTGTTCAAAGGTGGCTCCGCCGTTTTCGGGTGTCTGCTTGCTGCCTGCATGACTCTAACCTGGCAAAGGCAGCCATACCAGCGTCGTCCATCCAAAAGTATGCAGCAAATTAAATGGTTCGCGGCTTTCAGGACAAAATGGTGCGCACCAGAGTGGCTCTCTGATGTCTTGGCCCTGAGCTCAGGGCTCTCGCTTGCATAGTTTAAGGACGGAGTGCCCGGGCAAAAGCCTGACCAGCGGTGATTCGATCCCTCAAGCCCTGGATCGTCGTTTCCGTGCAAAGGTGGATGGTGGTGTACAAGTGGGTCGCCGTCCGGAGCAAGCCTTCACTCGAGGCCGAAAAAGCCCTGGGGATGGGCTCGGGAAGCCACGTTGATTCCATGCTTCGGGCCCCCTGCCGCTGCTCCAGGGCCAGATCCTCACGTGCCTTGCTCGGGGGGACCCGGTTTTCTGCGCCCGGGTCCCAGCTGTTTGAGTGATTTCTGCTTGTTCCGGCCCATAGGGGTCGTGTGCTGCCGCGTCGACTGTAGCATGGGAGACTAGCCGCCCCTTTGTATGCTTTGACCTTGTCTGAGCATGAGAAAGTGAGAACCCTCAGCCACGCTGAATGCGGAGGTCACCATGGAGGGCCCATGGGCCCTGGCTTCAGCGTCTATTGGGCCGCTGTGGTTGTTCTCCTCGAAAGAAGTTGCCGTGTGCAGGCTTGGGATGATCGAAACTCGATTCAGTGTTGGAGCGACCACAAGCTTGTCGATCCCGAGGTCAAGATCAGCTTGGACAAAGAGCCTCCGCTCCCACCAGCAGGTGGAGTTTTCCTCACCAGACGCTTTCGGCATGAAGCTGTTGAGTCCACCGAATTTCAGACTGTCAAGCATGAATCTAAACGCCCTTTCTGACGCCAGATTAAACGTATATGTGAAAGCAGATCGCCATTTCGGCGTCTCTTGGCGAGCCTGCGCCAGGTGGGGATCTGATCCGGAGCCAGAGAAGGCCATCTGTTGTGTTGCCCAGGTTGATGCAGTGGCGTGTTCGTTAAGGTGCTACATATCATCAATTCGCGTTTTATTGTAGCTGCATGTGTGTTATTGCAATGGCTATACTGCTGCCTTGCTTGTCTGTTCGGCAGAGGTTCTACCTACTCGTAAGAAAGTGTAATGCACATTGTGCTTGCGTTTCTTGTGCGGCGGCTGTGCGAAGATCGAATCAGTTCATGAGTATGATAATATGGTTGTAATTGACCACGGCGACTGGTAGCATGATCATCATCATCATCATCATCTCTACTGTACCTGCTGTGCCCTCGGTATCATCCAGTTTGCTTTGCTATCGGCAAGTGGTGCACTGCATTTGAGTTCGGTTCGGTATGCAAGATGAAATCCATCGAATGATACGACCAGTATTCCGTACAGCTAAGAGCAGTCATCATCATCATCATCATCATCATGATTATCATAATCACAGCAGTAGAATAGCAATAGCAATAGCAATGGTAGCACGAATAATAACAGTGGCAAAATCCTTCTGTTCCCTGGGCCAGAAGCCGCTCCGTTCTCGGCTCGAAGCGATGCTCGCCCCCGCCTGCCTCACGGTGGCACCGGCCTACGGCCCAGGTTCGGATTCCCCATGAAGCCACATACATACTGTAATACTGCACATGCTACAATAGTATATTCAACGAAATCTAGCCTAATATTTATAATGTACCACAATACTGTTGATACAATGTCATCTCATCTGCTTGAGGGGTTGCAGGCTTTGCAGAAGGGCTTAGAAGATGATCATGGAAGCCCTCAGGGAGTTGTTTCTGATTTTTCGGATGGTGCTGCCCTTTCAGTGCACGGTTGTGAGAACGCCGCGAACACCAGTCACCATCGAACGGGATTTATGACTTGTTGCCGATGGCATCTTCAACTGTCGGGAAGCCAGTGAAGTCCTGATTTCGCTTGAAAGCAAGAAGGCCTCTGAAGTGTCGAGCACTTCATTTCATCCAGAACTTCGACTAAGCCAATAGGTCAATAGGCGCCCAACAAGAGCTCAGAGGAAGGTATAGCCGTATAGCCATTCAGCTTCGCAGGCCTTCTTCGAGTTCGGCACAATTCCCCAGATGCCTGCTCCATGCTTCGTGCCCTGGCTGCTTTTCCGGCTCTGAGACGGTGGACTCGTGCATCTGTGTCGCTGCGCAGGCTTCTCTCTGTCTGCATGGTGTGCCGCCAGGCCCTCGGCGAGCCTCTTCACCTAGCATCTAGCACCACTGCTTGCACTAGCAGCATGTTGAAGCTCTGTTTCTGAGGGCCAGATGTCCCGAAGCTGCCGGCTGACACGTGGCGTGCCGAGGCAGAGTGGAGAACGAGAGAACGAGACGGGATGCCTGCCTTGACTGCCGCGTCTGCAGGAGTCGCACAGCAGCCTTTGCATCATCTGGAATGGAAGCCCAGGCTCGGAACTGGGGCCTGTGCGGTTCAGTCTCTGCAGGCCTTGCGATGCGTCAGGAGTCCAGGCCCTCACCGTCTTCCATCTACTTTCTGGCATCTTGCCAGAAGCCAGATACAGTGATTTGCGTGCCGACCAGTCTCAACTGACACTTTGGGCTGTGAAACCACGTTCATGGTCGCTGGTAGAAGCAGAGGCAGCGGCAGCTACGGCCCAGTTGCAGCCAGCCCACCGGTCAGGTACACCACAACTTCTGTGACCACTTACTCTTCTTTGAGGCACTTCGTGCACCCTTTCAGCTTGCAGTACAGCTGGAAACGATGCGTTTGAGTGACTCAAGACCAAGACTGAGCACAAAAGAGCAGCTCCGCAGCACGGCTCTCTCCAGACCTGAAGCCGTGGAGGCCCAAGAGCAGTGCCGAAGACTGTTGAGCAAGTCTGCCGCAGTTAGACCCATCGTACCCATGCTGTAGGATTGTGAGGTATCGGCCACATCCTGTTTCGACCTGCGTGCCTTGCGCCATGGCGAGAAGAGAGGCAGAGGTGAATGACGTCGGGGACCTTGAGCCGATCAAGTTGGAATGGACGCCCAAGGCGGTGCCACCAGAGAAGCTTGACCGGGGAGCTCCACGGCCGCCAACACCCGATTTTCTGAAAAACCTGAACTTTGAGACGGTTGGCGGCGGCGGTGTGCCATCTACATCACACTGTGACCCACCCACACAACCAGCGCAGGAGCCACAGCCGCAGGACCCTTCTGATCCTCCACAGGGCAAGGATGCCAAGAAAGAGGCTCAGAGAGCAAAGGAAGAGGAGAGGAGACAGAGGTTGATCATGGAGGTGAGTAGGATCGCGAAAACCGACGCTTCGAACTTCATGCGGCTGCTCGAGTTGAACATGGGCTACACAATGAAAGAGCTGGATCAGAGAAAACGCGCTTTGGTGCTTTTGTTGCACCCCGACAAAGCCAGCACCCTTGCGCAGGATGCAGCTTTGGAGGCGCAGGCTCGACGCGCCTACGATGCCGTGTGCAACGCGTACGAGGCGGCCAAGAACCAGCTGTCGTGGCAAAGCCCAGCGCCGAGCGGTCCCCATGCCGGCCCGCCTCGCACGCACCCGCCTCCATCGCAGAGCTTCAGATACAGATGCGCGCACTTGGGATGTTCCTACTTCGTCACCATAGGAGAATTCGGGGGATTCTGTTGCAAGAAGTGCCATGCAGCCTTCGTCCATGGAACCCCGAGCCAGCATGGCACCAGATGCCACCGACGCATCGCTGAGAACAGCGTCCCCAGAGCAGACCCGGTCGCTCCGGCGCATCCGTTGGTCTGAGTCTATGACCGCATGGTCACATGCTGCAAATGGAATACAGGAACCAGCAGGACTTGATTGCTCCGAATGCTGGGTACTGGTGCTTCGCGTGCACAGGTCTCTTTTTGATAATGCTCAGCCTTCTTCATGTTTCTACACGTGAAGGCGCTACGCATGGTGGCTGGTTGTCCAGTCTCCAGCGGTGGAATTGCTACCTGCGGCTTTACATAGTAATAGCCGTCAGCACGCGCGTCGTGCATTGCTCAGGAAAAGGCTTTGCTTGACCACAGCGAAGTTGCAAACCCAGCTCCTAAAACGATTTCGGAGGAGTGCCTTCACACCGGGGTGTAAGACCCGAGCCGGCACATGCAAGACTGTGATTCATTGAGAGTCCGGATAGTCCTGAACAGATCGTGACCGACGCATGCCAAGCCCACGACTTCGCCTGGCTTAACCCGCGAACGTGTGAGTTATTGACTTTTGATCGTTGTCTTTTTTCGTCGTCTGGCTGTGTCTAAGTTGCTCGCTAGAAGAGGTGATTATTCTGGGACCGTCAGGACGGCTCCTTCCGCCACGGCTCGGCAGTTGCCGGTGCCCAGAGCGGGCGCTGGGAGCTCCAGGAGCCGTGGGAGCCTTTCAGGGCCAGGGCTGGGGTTCCGGACAGCTTGCCTAGTGCCGTTTGAGGCATGCGTTGCCTGAACAGCTGGGCGATTGCAGTTGTCCAGAACCAACAGCTTGCCAACATGTTTCAATCTTGGCCGCCAGCGGGCACGTTGAGCTTCTGTCATCGGCTCAGCGGTGTAACTTGGATGCCGACCTCAGGCTCAGGGTCCGACGGCTTTGTGGGTGCAAGACTTCACGGAATGCAGGTGGGTTCAACTTACGGTCTAGTTACGCAGCCGCGTGCGATTGACAAGCCAGAAATAGTAGGCATCTACGCAGTGTCACACTTGGTATGTTGAGAAACGAATGCTGCGTACTTCTGTCTTGTTTCTGCCCCCATCCTCCCTCCTTAAGCACAAGATCGGATGGTCAGGGGCGGGATTCCCTTGCGCCTTCCTGCAATGGCACGGTCCAGGGGCTTGACCCTGGCTTTGGTGCTGGTGCTGCTGCTCGGCTGAGCTCTAAGCGTGCAGGACGCAGGGGCGATTATAAGACAGCAGTGCTTAGGTTCTTCGCACGAGGAGCCCTCGAGAACTTTGCAGTGCCACCGCAGCTTGGCTGGATGTACGATAGCACAAGCGTGCCGTCTTCGAGCTGCATAAGCCTTGCAGGCAGCAGCGGGCCCTCGTCACAGGCCTGCCGGCAAATGGTCTGCATGCCAAGCCTAGGCTTCGCCAGATTAGAGGGGGGCACAGATTCTCTGCGTCGATACGTTGTTACCCAGCTGCTCCGGCCAATCAGTGCCTGGTACAGCAGCAACAGTTGACAACTCACACTGGTGTATTGCTAGTTTGTGTTGAACGAATACGATGAAGCATCGTTGGGGGGGCCGAGCGCGATTATGTGATCAATCCATGGATGGGGCCAAAGCTTGCAGAGTGCACTTCGCAGATGGTGCTGCAAAGCATCCAATACATGTTGCTTCAGCGCGGATTTTGCTTCCGTTGACCCCTGGATGCCCCAAGGGCCGTTCTCGAGCGCCAGGTGCCTCGGGCTTTCTTGGACGTGAGCTCTGCTGCCAGCTTCTCGAGGCCTAAATCCCTTTTCCTGTCTCGGGTTTTGCTTGGTGTTGGGGGCCTGAACTTGGACTCTAGGAGCAGCGAACTGAGAGAGCGTAAACCTGTCTCCAGTTCTCTCATGTTTCTGAAGGGTTCTTCGGTCTGTGAGGAGGAACTGAGCTCTAGTACGGACCTGGGTAGCCCGAATGAAGGACAGATGCTGGAGTCGATTGGCTAGAGCAAGCTGTGTGATGCCTAGCCGGATGCTCCGGTCTGGCTTGGAACCTGATCGAATTCGAACTTGGAGCTTCGTTGATTCCGTTCTCTCAGGAGTCGTAAACCCTTCTGCTTGTAGGAGGTTCTCCGCACTGATATCATAGACAACCGGCCTCTGCAGTTTCCATGATGGACAACAACAGAGACTGGATCTTTCACATGAGCGCTTCGACATGTCCTTGCGCAGCACGAGGCCGGCTGGCACGTAACGGCTTTGGTCCACGACGCCTGGGCATCGGCATTCCGTAAAGCTTGGGGACAGCTCTGTTTGAAGATTGCAGCATGTTGCACACTATAGTTGACTATGCTATTGCTGGATGCTCTTCTACGCTGTACTGTACTGTACTGTACTGTACTGTACTTTTTACTGAAGAATCGTATACTGCACCACACTATGCTGCAGCATCCGTCCCTGCTTGAACCAGCAACGAGGCCTCCTCGGAGCGCGCGGAGGTCCTTAAGGAGCCGCCCTTTTCCCTGGGTGCTGCGATGAGCCGGCATGGGCTTTAGCACCAGCAGTTCGTTCTTGTGCAGCCTCTAAGCTGTTGAGCTCTCTCTCCCAATGGCTCCGGGTTTCACAAGGAGTTGGCCGCCTCTATCTCACCGCAATTCCAGACGGTGGAGCAGCTCGGCCAAAAGTGAGTAAGCAGGCATACTGCACAGTCTGCTCGCTGTGTGCAACACCATGCCATGCACTAGAGCATGAGCACCGTGGCATCTTGTCTCCGTCCCCCCGGCCTCCCATGCGAGGCTGGATCTGCTCGATGAGGCAGCCTTCGTGTCGCTGCTAAAGGATGGCAGGCGAGATAGGGAGGAACATGCGGCTTTCTTACATGTGACAAGGCCGTGCTTGAACTTCTTTGAAGAGATACTAGCACAAGCTGTTAGATAGGTATGAATCTCAGGCCGAGTGTGGTGTTCCACCTGGCCGGCATCTTCCGTCGCGTCCCTGATCCAGCCAAGGAGCCTCCAACAAGCATTTTCCGGAGAGAAGGGGCATTCAACAAAGGCCCCAGGGCCGAACAGCCACCACTCGGCGGACGAGCACGGATTGTTGCAGACCGCGTCGCAAGCCCTGGTAGTTATGTAGACCTTCAGTTCTGAATCGCGCACTTCTGCGCAGGAACTAGTTGCACCGAACATTGCGATGGCAGAGGCTGGGGTGTGATCGGCTGATGAGAAATCGTGCTTTAGCCGCCCATTGCGCACGTCGCGAACTCTAGCGACACGAGCCTTCCGTCTTCCAGCAGGTGTGACTTGGCTAAGCCCCAGTTTTGACGATTTCATCACTTCGTAGCCATTAGGCTCGATAGATCGGCTGGCCCGGGCTTCGTAGACAAGCAGAGGGAAAGGATGGTTCCGTGCTGGCTCTGGGCTGCGTTGGCCGCGGCTGTCGCCAAGGCACCTCAGTCCTCGAGTAACGACAGGTTCACGTCATGCTGGGGTGGGGAGTCTTGTCTTGTTTTGTATTGTCCGCTGGCGGAGCCAGAGAGCGAAGCAGAACTGTGCAAAGCAGAAGTCTGTATGCCAGCGCTTTTTCTAAGTTTGGAGAGCATCACTGCTGGTTCCTGCGGTTGACGGGACCCAGATCTCGATCAATTTTATCGGGGAATAGAGAACCTGTGCCTGCCTCCTAGGCTGACATGCCACCGCCCCAACGGCCTGCCGGCAAAGTGTCTGCCCGCCCCCTTGAGCTGGTGGAACGGACTCTCACCAAGGCCTTGAAAGGGCCTCGCACCACGTTTGCAGCTTGCGGCGTTGAGCAGATTGAACCGGGGATGCTGGAACAACCACAAACCCAGAAGCCATCCACCAGTATGTGGCTGCTGAAATCTGAGAATTCGAGGCTTCGGGGTTGCTGGATGTGGGCTGTCTCAAAAGATCAGGACTTCTTGCGCTGGATCTGGTGGTCTCTTATCGAGTCGTGGTGTGAGGTTGTGCGGCAAAGCTGCTGTTCATGCAGTCACCTGCTCTAAGTCCGAACTTCGACTGTTCCCTGATCGTCTCTTGCGCAGCTTTGCATTTCGTGGGTTTTATCCAGATTTTCTGCTTCGGCTCGTCGCGTTTAGAAAAATGCTGCGGTTGGCATAGTGCGAAGCTATGGGGCTGAGAGGGCTGCGAGAGAGTGCAGGCAGCGCTGCGGGACAAGCTCGACGGACGCCGGGCTGAGCAAGATTTGGGGTCGGTCGGTCATTTCGCAAAAAGGCGTGTACTGTATGGAGTGGCGCACACGCTGAGGATACTGGATTGGTCAGTTGGTTGGGAACTTTATGGGCCTGCCTTTCGAATTTACGCCTTCTGGACTGCACCAGGAGCGGCGTCGAAGTCCTTGGCAGGCTGTGGCAGGTGATGCTGGAAAGCTCTGACACAGTCTAAAGCTCTACAAGGAAGTCATCTTAGTATAACGTACATTCTCTCGATGGTTCCTCGAATACTCGTGTAGATCGCTGGAGGTGGCTCATGTGGCCTTGAGTAGCAGCACAGAGTTTATGTGGGCCGGCAAAAAATACAAAGGGTCGGAACACCAAAAAGTCAATTGGCTGAGGTATTGGGAGGACCCCATGCCCATTGAGCCCCACACGTACTGGGAGCCTCGGTACGTTTCGGAGCATGTGTGGGAGGGGATATGCCTCAGATGTGGTGGAGCAACCCCAGCTGATCAGAAGTCCGTGGCGTGCCGATCCAAGGATTATGAGTCGGCGAAGGCTGCCAACCTTTCGGTCAATGGACCCTGTGAGAATGACGGCCGAGGATGCATTCCTCAAACTTTGGACAATCTCCAGGGTGCGTACACCGATGATGTGCCTCGGTCGACAGAGGGGGGTATCGCGCGGGGAGCAGGGGTTTTTGGCAGCCATCACCAGCATCACCAGGACACGGACATCGAGTTTGTGACGATCTTTGCTTTGATGGACCATGGTCTTGACTTGACCTATCCGGAAATTACCGCTTACTGGCAGAAGCTCCCTGTCAGAATTTTCCACAGCGCACGGAGCTCACTCCAGCAATCATGAATGATGATCATAGCTGTCATCATTGAGTGTGCTGTTCTAGTGCACGGCTATGTCGATGTGCATGGAGGTATGTCCACATCACGGTGAACGGCTCAGATGCACTCTGGTTTGCCAATCGCGTGGCTCGGGAAAACATGGATGCAGGCCCACGGTGGGTTTGAGAGAGCACGGCAGATTCGGTTCCCTAGGCTAGGGGATTTCCTTGATCTGTGAAGCACAGATCACCAACAGTCAAGCGACGGATGGCCACGCTTGAAGGCATGCTGCCTCCTGCCACCGGCTCAAAGGATAACAATGAGTACTGGTGGACCATTGACCCGCAGAGCCTGGTCCTGGTTAATTAGAGTTGCATCATTTTTGGGGGAAATTGGTCTGTTTCGTGCCGCGCTGCACGGTTCAGCTCATCCAGTTGACAGAACATGATTCTGCAGACATGTAAACTGTCGTACAGTGTCCGCTTGCACGGTCCGGCATCGTCCGACGGCCCACTGGCTTCGTGTTTTGTTTTTGCCTTTCGCTGCTTGCCGGTTTTCGTTTCTTAGTGGCCGAGCTGGGCAGTAAGGGCAGCAGTTGCAGCAGGCGAGTCCCTTGTGATAAAAAGTGGCGCAACAAGAAAAATAGTCTAAGTACAGCAGTGTTGGCTTCTGACATCCCAAGCAGAGTTGAGAA